TACTAAAGTAATTTTCACAAGACTACAGAGCAATGTAGTAGTCAAACATGTATGGTTTAGAGCCTGCTGACTGTTCATTCATTTCTGCACTTTTTCTGGGTTTCCATAGGATTTGCAAACTGTGACTCCAGATTACAACCAACCTCGCATCTACCTCCAGTTATTTCTCATAGACACCTGGGTCCTCATTCCCAACTGAATTGTCTTCATTAAAATTCTCTCTTTTCTTTCTCTCTTTTTTTTTAATCTTTCAGCAGCTTGTTTATCATCCAAACCTGGCAAGTACAATTTTTTAACATTTTGATAATGAAATCAAAATCAGCATCCAAAGATTTTATCTCCTAAGTCACTATTGCATTTATGAGCTCTTTTGAGGTTACTTGTATCCACTCTTAAATGGAAAGTGGATTCCAGGCTAGCCTGGTCTACACAGCCAGGGCTACATAGTAAGACCTTGTCTAAGAAGAGAGAGGAGGAGAGGGCACAACTGGGATTTGTTAGTGTTTGCATTCATGCATTTGTTCACTTAACATGTGCTTCCTGAGTGCACACTATGCCAAGTTTTGTTCCTGGCACCAAGGAGACAGCACTGTGCCTGAATGACAGGATACCTTGTCATTGTGCCTGAAATGGCACACATTTATCTTTTAATTGTACTTTAACTCATCAACTACGCTAAGAAGCAGAAAGGACATGCCCTGACATCAAGTGCAGATTGTTGGCTATGCAGGAGTGCTGCTCACCAGTAGCCACAGCTGAATTCACGTTGGGTCAAAGTATCACAATAATATATTTTAGTTCAGTTTAGAAGATGTTTCCATAGGGCCTTTATGCCAGGCACTAAAACTACAGAAATGATAGAAATCGAGAAATAAAGTGAAATTCCTGCTTTGAAGAAGCTAGTAGGTTAGTAGAGGAAACAGTTGTATCTGAGAGGCAAGGGATGGTTTTAGGTTGTATTTTTAAGATTTAGGAGCTCACACTGATGACAGAATGTCTAATCAGACGGATGCTGCATAATCTCATGAAAACTCCATTGACTCCTAGTGCTTATTCTTCCTCATCCTCTCAGGCTATTGATTTATCTTGGGGCATCCAAGTATGTGGATTGAGATGATTTTCTTCCCTTTCCAGAGGAAGTCTGCACCTTGATCATCACAGAAGCGTTTCCTGAAGACTCCAGGGAGTTCAAGTGCATTGCAGAAAATAAGGCTTGGGACCACAGTCTCAACGGCCAAACTCTGTTTCTTCAGGTAATAATGCTTAAATTTTCCTTGCTTCAATTCAGCTCTGAGACTAAAAGGAAGATTCTGTTTTTATCTGCACTGGTGATTATATTGAGGAAAAGCATTAAAGAAGTCAGAGTCTTCCAAGTTATCTATGAGCAAATTTTCCCTACCACCAGCTCTGTTCCCAGGAGAAGTAAACACTACACCAAAGACAAAAATCCAAACCATATTTCCAGAAACCTAATGCCAGTTACTCCTAAACTAGCCAGCCACAATCAATATGAGACTCAGGTTCCAAGAAAGAATTTCTGGGCCACCAATGGTAATTTCCCTGACCTACAACCACAGTGGTAAGAAAGAGTAGACAGACCTAGCATTCACTCACCCAGTAGACATTTTTGGTTCTATAGACCAGGAAAAATCCCCTGCATCTAGGGAGCTGACAACGTAACATCCAGCCCCCTCTACTGTGGCTGAAGTATACATCTCGTGCTTGAATAGACATTTAAGAATTTATTTCAGAGGCTTGTTAAATAAAGATTCAGTAATGCTGAAGTAGCACATGATTTCTGAAGAAGCAGAATTTATTTCCAAGATGGTGTTCAGTATCCTACTTTAATATGAATATATAAAGCAGTGGTTTTGAGAGATGGTTCAGTGGTTAAGAGCACTGGCTGCTCTTGCAGAGGACCTGGGTTCGGTTCCCAGCACCCACATGGCAGCTAACAATCGTCCTTAATTCCAGTTCCAGGGGAGTCAATGCCCTCTTCTGACTTCCACAGTTACTGCCCAACACAGATGCACTTACATATCTATTCAGGCAATATACTCATATACATAAAAAGATAAAAAAAAATATACTAGTGTTTTTTAAGCCGGGCGTGGTGGCGCACACCTTTAATCCCAGCACTTGGGAGGCAGAGGCAGGAGGATCTCTAAGTTCAAGGCCAGCCTGGTTTACATAGTGAGTTCCAGGACAGCTGGGGTTACAGGGAGACCCTGTCTCAAAAAGACCAAAACACAAATTAAGAAAAGCTAGTGTTTTTTAAAATGTAAAACATTTTGTGATTTGGGTTTCCTCATGGTCAATCTCAAAATAAAGACAGAATTATCCTTGTGTTTAAAGGACAAATATAAAAATAAAAAGATGGTTCAGTAAGTGAATTTGCCAGCCAGGTTATGTTTAAAACAGCATGCACAACACATTTACCACTTCTAATCCCCAATACAAACATCAAATCCAAATATTGATTTAAAAGTCCCAACCTGAGACTGGAGAGATTACTCAGTGGTTAAGGATTCCCAGCCCCCACATGGCAACTAACAGCCACTGTAACTCCAGTTCCAGGGGATCTGACACCCTCTTCTGACCTCCATGGGCATTGCACGACACAGGTACACCCACCTACATGCAGGCATTACACTCACACACATAAAATAAAAATAATAATTTTTTTAATCCCAACCTAAAATTTGATGTAAAAGGTCATTTCAAAGGCTAGAGGTGGTGGCACATGCCTTTAATCACAGTACCCAGGAGGCCGAGGCAGGCAGATCTCTGTGAGTTAAGGCCAGCCTGGTCTACACAGAGAGTTCTAGGCCTACCAGAGCTATATAGTGAGACACTGCCTCCAAAAAAAGTCATTTAGAGATTTCTTTAGTGGTTAAGAGCACTGACTGCTCTTACAGAGGACCTGGCTTCCATTCCCAGAACCCACATAGTGGCTAACAATCATCTGTAACTTCAGTTTCAGGGAATCAACACCCTCTTCTGACCTCCATGGGCATTGTACAACACAGGTGCACTTACATACATGCAGGCAATACACTCATACACATAAAATAAAAATAGCAAATAAAATATTTAATAAACCTTCCTGGCTATTCCTATTTTGATATCACTTGTATTTTTTAAGTCTCTCTACTTTGGATTGAAAGGTTTTGTTCCTGTTCATGGAATTTGAAATATTTAGAGGCAGATGTGGAAAAATATTTTGGGAGATTCCTGAAATAAGACTTTGTAGGCAGCCTCCTACTCATCAAGTCTAGCATGCTTTTCTACGAAGTAATGGTTGTGTGCTCAGACAACAATTACCAAATTTTTTCTGAGTAACACAGCAAAGGACATAAACATGACCAGTTGAGAAATATTTTTTTTAGGCCATTTCCCACTTTGTTTCCCAGGTGACCTCAAGTGACCATCTCACCTCAGCCTCGTGAATAGCTCGTGAATAGGTATATATCATCAGTCCTACCTGTTGGGAAAAATTATATGTGACGCACATGCATTTAAACCTGTATTTGTTGGACCCTGTCCTGGTTTGTTTCTTCATTGCTGTGACAAAATACTCTGACCAATACCAACGTAGGGAGGAAAGAGTTTACTCAGCTTACATCTCCCAGGTCGCAGTACATCAGGGAGCCCAAGGTAGGAACTCAGGGCAGGAACCTGGAAACAGGAGCTGGAGCACAGGCCATGGAGGAACGCTGCTTACTGGCTTGCTCCCCTGGCCCCTGCTCAGCCTGCTTTCTTATGCAACACAGGCCCACCTCCCCAGGGGTGTCACCACCCACAGTGGGCTGGGCCCTCCCATATCACTCTTCAAGAAGATGCCCCTCAGACATGGCCACAGGCCAGTCCAATAGAGGCAATTCCCCAATTGAGGCTCCCTCAACCCAAGTTGTCAAGTTGACATTAAAGCTATCCAGCACAGACCCTAACACATATGAGTTAAAACAAGATTGGAATGCCTATCTATGAAGAAGAAGGATTGAATTCATTGGCTAGAAATGACCCTAGCTGATTGACCTGGTCCTCATTCCACTTACCTCATTCTACTACCTCTGTTGATAAGAGGATTTCTTCTTTGGGAGTTGCTTACTTACCGGTACAGAAATGGAAACTTAAACACCACAATGGTCTCCAAGACAAAAGCAGAAAGAAAATCATTAGGAGTAAAGGGAGGTGCCTATTTGTTAAGGTTGTTTAAGAACTTTAAAAATAAAACTATCGGGTCATTAGGAGTAAAGGGAGGTGATAAAAGGACATGGGCTTCCCTAATCGTATAGTTTGCCTATTTGTTAAGGTTGTTTAAGAACTTTAAAAATAAAACTATCGGGTCTAAGGGATCTATATCAAACAGATTCAGAAAACTTATTAAAGAAGCCAAATGACATTTTTCTACCAGTCTACCTTCTGGGTCACATGTCACCATGACCCTGCTGTCTGGCTTTGTGCACAGAGCATGTCTCTTCTTGAAACACAGTTTGAATCAAACTCCACTCCTAATTCTATTAAGCAAGTGAGAGGAAAAAACCCTCTCAGCCATAGAATGATGCACAAGACCATTTGCAGTCCTCCCACAACTAGTATTATCACTAGAGAAGTCTCACTCAATAGAAAAACTTGTATGGAATATTCTTTCCCCCTTAATCCTGTTTTTTCAACAGGGAAGATTCAAAATCCCTACTTCAATACATGGAGAAATTGAGTTTGAGTTTCATTAAACTTTTCTCCATTTTCTAATTTACTGCTCTCTCCCATGATCTTTCAAGCACACAGTCAAAATTCATGTCTAAAATAAAGAGGACTGCGAGAGAAGCTCATGTAATTCTGCTCCTGAAATATCACCAAGACATCTGAGATATTGTTTAGATTGTGGACTCTTACTTTGACATGCCAGCATAGGTAGATGGACAGGCAAGCACATCAGATGTCACTGTCTGGCAGCTGATAAAAGTCAGCGTGCTATAATACCAAGCACAGAGTCACTAGATTAGTCTGAGGGAAGGAGATGCCTCTTCCTTCCCCTCAATAGTGGGCCGAGCCCAGCTGGCACTCTCTGGAGGTAAGGGTAAGTCCCTTCTTTATTTGTGCTACGGCTTTGGGTTTTGTTTTTGTTTTTTGTCCAAATCAGAGGAGTGTTCATGAAGGTGATCTTGAGAATTAAAAAAAAAAATGACAGTTACAATATTCTAATGGTGTTATACAAAGAATTGAGGAGAAAGGGACCTCTTCAGTCAAATGCAAGTGCAAGCCTTATACAAAGGACACAAGGAAAGGAAATTATGTATCCTTATTTTTAAAGCGTTATTTTTTCCTTGAAAATATTCATTTGTTCTTACTGTAATTGTGAAAGTATACTATACGCAATACGTCAGTCCTTTGCATAAGTTTATGCTACATTAGAGAAATTTTTAGTGGTTGATATTAGCAAAAACTATTAAAATTAAGTAAATATTCTAAGGTAGTATTTGTGTAATAGGAGATGAGATAATGTTTTATTTATAAAGTCTTTGAAATTTACTTAGCTTTAGTTGGAATCAAATACTAGCCTGTATTGGAATCTATTGCAGAACTGAACTGCTAACAGTAACTACAAACGTGAAGGAAAGTAATCTGGAATAACATGTTGTTTCCTCAACACCTTGCACGAAATTTTGTTGAGACATCAGTATAACTTTTGAAATAACATATCTTTACCTGAGCTTTAAAAAAATTACTATTAGATATGTAGGCTGGTACCAAAATGTACAAGACAAAATTCTGAAAATCTATTCTCAAAAAAAAAACAAATAGAACTCTTTCTGGAAAATATGTTCAGCCTATTTCTTAAGCAGTTGCTTCCTTGTTCTTGGAAATGAACCTGAATAATGGGCCTGCCCAGGCAGAAAATTAAGAATCAAACTCTACTCAGCATTTCAACAGAGTGAGCAGATCTACCACTACAGAGCTGACTTGAAATAGAGCCTTTTTGTTTCAGGAGATCTAATCAAAGCCTCCCTGTCAATTGGAAGGCTTCATATAGTACATTTCTACAATGTAGTTTGGGTGAACGTGTTTGTGTCCATAAATTTGAAATCAAGAAATATACAATTTTTCAGGTGTTCTTTTTCAATAGAACTTTTTTATTTCCTTGCAGTTTGGTTCTTGCTAATTTTAACTTAACTCTAACTTACCAACAAAGCCTTAGACTGAAGTCCCTTGATCTGGATGATGGAATGCAGTCTATAATATATATTACACACATAGGGACGAGCATATGCACAGTCACTCCTTAATTATCATATGTTTTGGTACTATGGTCAATTTTGGAATCAAGGGAAGAAAAAGAAGCAATGAGTTGTATTATTTTTAAAGTTCAACCCAAAATTGATGATAATGAATTGTAGATGTTCCATCTATCTTGTGAAATTTAGAAAGAGCAAAGGAATAAACACGGGCATTAAAGTAATACTCTTCACAAAAGAAGGACATTGCTTCCTTGGCTTGCGAGGATGCTGTTCATTAAAAGCTACCAGGTATACATGAGCTGATACACCAGGAGAGCCACTAACGTGCTTTGATGAGAAATGGGAAGAGCTGGCATCATGAAGACTGGCATTACATTTAATGCTACAACTTTTAAATCATTAAATCTCTGAGGTTAATGACTCTGCAGGATCTGGATCAAAGTAAATCATCAGACTCTGAAATCACCGCATTGAATAGCATCAAAGAATTTCTTTTCAAAAATAATAACCCCTTGGGAAATAGCGATTTCTATGTTGTTCTATCTTGAAGCCCCTTCTTAAGTTTTCAGCCAAGAAAAGCAAGCACTGTGAACCATTTTTATTTCATCACAGGGGGAAAGTCACTTAAGCAAAGCAGAGGTGAAATATAGAGGCCTGGAAAATTCCACCTTGAGGTGACCTTAAGAGCACATAAGTTTTTGTTGAAAGCGTCAAATAGACTGGTTTAAACAAAAATTGCAACGATTATTTTCTCCTTTTGTAGGAACAATATTCTTCAAGAGAAGTCCACTCTGCCAAAGCCAGAAGCACAACATTCTCAAGATCTCAGCCAGGAGGGGCAGACCAAGGTTGCTTCTGTCTTCTTGCAGCCTCCCATAATTCCAGACTTGCTGCGCCATAGTCAGGACACTACCCTTCCAGGAGCAAATTCATCTTCCACAGACCAGCTAATCATGTTTAACTACGAACGTCCAAAACATTTCATCCAGTCCCAAAACCCCTGTGGCACCAGACTGCAGCATCCAGGACCTGAAGCCTCCAGCTTCTCTAGCCAGACCAAACAGTCTTCTATCATCATCCAGCCCCGCCAGTGCACAGAGCAGAGGTTTTCCGCCTCCTCCACAGTGAGCTCTCACATCACCATGTCTTCCTCTGCTTCCCAGCAGCATGCTGGCTCCAACCCAGGCCAAAGGGTTACTGCCACCTATAACCAGTCCCCAGCCAGCTTCCTCAGCTCCATATTACCATCTCAGCCTGATTACAATACCAGTAAAATCCCATCCACTGTGGACTCCAAGTAAGTGAATCTCTATATACTGCATGTGGGTGTGTAAAAAGGCATGCCTTTAATCCCAGCACTTGGGAGGCAGAGGCAGGCAGATCTCTGTGAGTTCAAGGCCAGCCTGCTCTACATAGTGAGTCCAGGCCAGCTGGGGCTACAGGGAGACCCTGTCTCAAAAAGACCAAAAAAAAAAAAAAAAAAGGCAGTGTCAACTTACAGTCTCATTCCATAATCCTCCTAGAACATACTGAGCCAGGACACTGGCAATAAACGATCATCTGACCCATCCTCCAAGGTCCAGGCTGAGCCAAATTCAAAATACTTATCATTCCACACAATTATGCACATATTCTTTCATCTTTGGGAAAAAAATACCCAAGAACAGTGGACTTTTTGCTTAGCTCTAAGCCAAGTTCCTCTTGCTGTAAATTTAATTCCTCTGGTCTTGGCTCAGCTAAGATGAAGAACACCTGTCTGCTTCTCTTCGGATAGGATTTCCTCTCAAATAAGCAAAGGCTATTAAGTTTCTTCTCAGTCTTAATCTTTTCTTCCTACCCATTTCCCCCTTTAATCTTAACTCTCCACGTGGCTAACATATTTCAAAGCTAACATTTTTTAAAATCTGGAACTCAGCTGGTTGGTCAGATGTATGGATTGTCCTTACTACAATCAGAAGGGAAGCTTGAAAAGATGAAGGCTTATGGCTTTAAGGTTTACTTGGTAAGTGACACCATAGTTATGTGTTCAAATTTGTTGGGTGATCTAAATACAGGGAAGAATGCCTATAGCCTTACTTAAGCATGCACTATTTCCACAGCTCTGAGACTGTCCTAGAAGAACTTGGTACCAAGAAGGGCACAGTGGTTGTGCTTTTTTTAAAACATGAACTGAATACTTTGTGTTTATTCAAACTTAGGCCTATCAGTTTTCCTATTTCTTGGCTGGCTAGAACATCAGAGAATTAAATCAGAGGCATCTCAAAAATTGTCTGGTGGAACATGCCTTATTGCAGTCTTATTTATGCATTTACTAAAACTCTTGTTAGCCTTTCTTCTTAGATATTTATTCAATATTGGATAGAAAAAGACATATAAAGCAGTGTATCAGTCTAATACTAGTTTGTATTTAAGAGCAGGTATCAAGTCCTAATATGTCATCTATTAGGAAACCCTGAGAATATTCCGTGAATAAGATGACAGAGGTAGTTTTTATAAAAACTTGATTACTGGTAACAAATCCAAAAAATGAGATAAGCTGATTACAGAAATCCAAATTGTAGAGGAACCACAGTCCACTTTGAAAAATAAAAATCAGGACACTCAAAAGCATGCTAGAATCTTAGAGATGTTATACTGAACTATTTGAAATAGTTGATAATCAACTCTTCTGAACATAGAAAATGGCATTCCCATAATCTTGACTTAATATTTTAAAAGAACACCTTCCCCTCCCCCAAGATTTCTATTATATCCATTTCATACATCATACATTGTAGATCTTTCTTGCTCACAATTATTAGATTATTATGTTCCATGTAGCTGTGTAGCATTTCCAAATTTCTTACAAAACCATTTTAAATATATAACCTACTTTGACTATAGTGTTTTCTCTACTAAAGTGTTTCAATCCTATTTCAATCCTGCTCAGGAAGGAAAGTTATCAAACAAATACTCACAGAACCTCAACCATGTACCTAGCTCAGCACAGACCTAAGAAGGGAGAAAGAGAGGCAAAAATAGAGAATAAGAAACAAGCCTGGGAGGTCCCCAACCCAGAGATCAAAGATCCAGCTTTAGCTGTTCCATTTTCAGCAACTAGAGATAACTCTTTTAATCTCGCCATCGCTACTTGATACCCATTCTGAGTCCAGCTGTACAGGGTGGAAAGCCCTGGCCCTTTGAACATTTATGCATGAATCTCCCGTTGTTATGATGGGCTCAAGTTTTCCCTGTCTTCTAAAATAATCCTTTGGATTCTGACCTAAAGAAGTTTGAAAGCTTTCTTTAGACATTTTAGTCAGTTGATCAAACCACACGGTGGAAAGTGAGAGGAACTCTTGAATTCTAGTTATTTTTTCCAAACAGCTTGCTATGAGACATTCAGCAAACACAACCTGCTTGGTGTTACAGCTTTCTATTTTGTAGAAAAAAAGTAATGATTAGGCTAATCCATGGTAGAAAACAACAGATCTCTAAAGCAGAATACAAGAAAAATATCAGTTTATACGTAAGAGCAGGTATTAAGTCTAATATGTATGCCATCTAAAGTGGCAATAATGAGTATTCAGTGAATAAATGAGGGTACATATGCATCTGTGATCTAAGGTTTGGCAATCATTAACAGCCCCTCAGGATTCCTGTGATATCTCAGTCTAAATTCATTTTACCCAGCATGTGTGGCTTTCATAAAGACAGTAATCTATCATTGAAAATCAAACTAGGCTATTTTTAATATAAATATTTTTATGGAGCTTTTGTAATTTCATATAGCAGTTCTTAATCAAATTTATGCTCCCTCCCCGATCCATACTGCCCCCATCCTCCCACCGGACCTCATTTTTCCACCATACATGTTAAGTCCTATCCATTCAGGCATTTGTAACCAAATCATGTACTGGCAGAATATGAGATTTATAGGGCAAGGAAAATCTTCCTCATAGACTTAGGAATTCACCTGGGGGAGGGGGTACACTGTTTATTTAAATATTTTATTGATTTGACTATTTACTTTAGTAAATAAGTCATACTTTAGTTAAGGATTAATACAAACAACTGGAAAATCTTAAGCTCTAAAAGGTAAATGGAGAATGGGTAATTATCAGCTTCCAATACAGAATGTCTTGACTACCATTGAAAAAAAAACAAAAAGCAAAAACATTTATTCACTCAGCCAACACTATATACCCTATACCTGGGTTTTGCACTAGTGGATATAAAATGGCACAGTGATGCATAATGACTCTTTTTATTCATCAATATGTTGACATTCTACGCTGGGATTGCGTCCATTCACCAGACCAGGATAGTGAAAACTCTGACTCCACTATGAAGAACTTGGCTTCATCTTAGATGACAAGTCCTTTTACTGATTCTTTTGAATCTGGGTAGCTATACAATGTTTATCATGATCATCATAAAATACTCATCAGGGCTGTGACCAGTTTTCCCTTGTTAACTAGACTGATACAACTTCCCCATGTGGGTATCTAACTTAATAGGTTAAAACTGAATAAAATATGAGTAAAAGTATGAGGAATGTAACAGAACTAAAAATACAGCATCCCAAAATTGCTGTCCATGTCCTCTGCCAAGGTCAATAGGGAAACTTGGAAAGGGTTCAGGGTACCTCAGAAGAAAGTTTAGGAGCAGAATTTGATGTGATAACTTAAATTCTTCAAATTCTTTTCAGATCTCTGTTTTTTACCCAAGTCCTTTTTTCTCAGTTATATTTTGTTCTCTATCTACCTCTAATTATATTTCTTTCTTTAAAAAAATCACTTCCACAATTCTGAAGAAACTGTTATTACTTTTAATGTTATTTTAATATAGCAGATTGGATTTTTTAGTATAAAATGAACTGGAACTAAAAATAACTAGGAAAGCCAGAGATTCTACTTAGAAATAACTAACTGTTCATCAACATGAGTGGTGTGTGGCAAATTCATCTCTAGAAGGAAGGACCATGATTGGTGGTATCTACTATTTTCCCTCATATAAAGACTTCCATGAACACCAATTTCAAACCTCAACCTGAGATCACAGGTTGATAGGAAGAGATGCTAAAAATCATCTTTCTAAAGCCCATGAGAGACAGCTTGGTACACAATTGTTTGATATCCACCCATCCATGAAGCAAGAAATTTAACCATAAGTTTGGAAGAACTAATAAGTTGCCATTAACCATTGCATTCTTTAGGAATCTTCCCCCTGACATATAATTTTCACTTGCCAAGAGAAAAAAATAAAGGCAGAAGCCATTTTTATAACATCCTTCTCTACTCATTAGGGCTATTGGTGTTCTCAGTCACACTAACAATTTTAAGAGGTAAACTCAATGTATCTAAATATGGCTTACAAAATGAAGTCAATCCTAGTTTTTAAATTTTTTTTGTTTTGTTTTAAAGCTATCAACAATCTTCAGTTGGCCAACCTGTAAATGCCATGTCATCCCAAACTGCAAATGCTAAGCCCGCACCAAGGACACCTGACCACGAAATCCAAGGATCAAAAGAAGCTTTGATTCAAGATTTGGAGAGAAAACTGAAATGCAAGGACACCCTTCTCCATAACGGAAATCAAGTGGGCAAGCTATCTATTTTGTACAGAAAGCCAAGTAAACTATTTTTAAAAATCTAATTCCAATAAGAAGCTCTGAGGCTGAGAGGGTGGCTCAGCGGTAGAGCACTCCCTTAGCGCCAGCTTGACACCCAGCACCACCACAGAAAAATTACTTCTGTCTCTAATAGATCTACATCCATATAATCAGCAAGAAATAAGATTAGCTTTTTAAAATAGGAACATCTGTGTGCCATTTCATATTACTCTGCATGAAGTCACCTTTTGGATTTTAGTAGTAAAAAGGTTGAAGCTAATGAAAAATCAATGGACAATATAATGAATTTTTTTTGTTGATTTAAACATTGCCCTTTCAAGAATTGAACGTGGTGGCAAACTTCTGTAATACCAGCACTTGGGGGTTGAGGCAGACAGAGTAGAGGCAGGAAGATCAGGTATTGGAGGTCAGCTTTGAATACATAAAAAGTTCAAAGCCAACCTATGCCACATGGGTTCCTGTCTTTAAAAATAGACAGGTGGGCCGGCCGTGGTGGTATACACCTTAATCCCAGCACTCGGGAGGCAGAGGTAGGCAGATCTTGGTGAGGTAGAAGCCAGTCTGGTCTACATAGCAAGTTACAGGCCAGCTGGGGCTACAGGGAGACTATGTCTCAAAAAATAATAATTTAAAAATAAACAAAATAAATAAGCAAAGGGCTGGAGAGATGCCTCAGCAATTAAGAACACTTAACCGCTTTTGCAGAGGACCTGGGTTCCATTCCCAGCACCCACATTGCCATACTAACAACCACCCATAACTCCAGTTACAGGGTTATCTGATGTCCTCTTCTGGCCTTCTTGGGAACTGCATGCATGGGTGTACTTACATGCAGGCAAAATACTCACATATGTATATAACATAAAAATAAATAAAATATTTTTAAAATTACCCTCTCATAAAATGTCTTATAACCACATAACTAATGGAAAATACTGTCAACTCAACTTGTCATTTTAATGTATAATATTTATGGACAAATAAAAACAGCTGTAATTATAATACAGCTTTTACCATGCAATTGTATTAGTCACTTGTTTTTGAAACAGCACCATATGCCTTTAATCTAAATGCATTAGCATATCAAGTTCACTGCTCTCGATCAGCAGTGAATACAGTGAAATTTTCGATGTCATTTTGTGTAAGTTATTTCTAATATGAGGGTGCATAGTAGTATATTCAAAAATGGAGCTCAGGATATGCTGAACAAGGAGGAAGCATTTCTCCTTACTTGGGAGAGCCTTACTAAAGGGTAATTATGCCTGCAATTCTTAGGATCAAAAAGGAAGCCTGAGAAAGTCTTTACTCTGGCTGAGAGGAATGGCACAGAAATGGAAGGAAAATGCTTTTAATGGAAGAAAAGGCCCTTTAGTAAACACAGAAGTATAATTCAACATAGGACTATGCTTTGAAGATCTGACTTCAAGTGGTAGTTTTAGAGGTGAATTTCTTCATCCTAAGTCTCCTCACCATCTCCTAGAGGCTGACCTATGAGGAGAAGATGGCTCGCAGATTGCTAGGACCGCAGAATGCAGCTGCCGTGTTTCAGGCTCAAAATAATGATGCACGAGATTCCCCACAGGTAAATTAAAATGATTTTTATGTAACCTGTTGCCTTTTTTTTTTTTTTCTTCTTTTTGAGACAGGATCTCCCTATGTTGGTGGGGCTTCCCTTAAGCAATCCTCCTTTCTCAGTTTTCTAAGTGCCTGGGACTATAGATGCGCACCACTATGCCAATGTGAAGCACTTTTTGAGGCAGGGTCGCCCTGTAGCCCCAGCTGGCCTGGAGCTTGCTATGTAGACCAGGCTGGCCTCGAACTCACAGAGATCCACCCCCCTCTGCCTCCCAAGTGCTGAGATTAAAGGAGTGTGCCACCAAACCCAGCTAATTTTTAGCAATTTCAATGTTTGAAAATGTATTTGTGACACTAGTGAAGCATCCAGTTATTATCATCTTCTTAAATTTAAAATTCTTTCTTATTAAACAAATAAAAAGACTCTTATGAGCTCTTATAACAGCTCTAAGATTAATGGAAGCTTGTTTTCTAAGAAGGGATTAACTTTATGAGAACATAAAGTGAATACTTAGACTTGTGCCTGACCAGCCTAATTATAACAGTAACTTAACCCAAGACAGATGTACAATATGTAAGGCAGACTGAAGTGCCGTTGCTCTTTTTGTCTTCCTTCTATGGTTACCTGTTACACACTCTTAAACAATCTACAAGAAACTGGGAGCCACAGAGATGAAACTGAGAACTTAGGATTTCCAAGCTTCCAAGTAAATAAGAAAATAAGATTTTAGGGGGCTAGAGAAATGGCTCAGTGGTTAAGAGCACTGGCTGCTCTTACTAAGGACCTGGGTCTGGTTCCCAGCAGCAACCTGACAGTTAACAACCATCCATTACTCCAGTTCTGGTGAATCTGATGCCCTCTTCTGGTCTCCACTGGCATTGCATGACACATGTGTGCTTATATACATACAGGCAAAACACTCAAACATAAGGTAAATATAAGGAAATAAAAAATAATTAATAAAAAATAAAGACTTTTTTTCTGTTAAATGCCAGTAGTCTAATGGATAAACAACTAGACTCTAGACACTGGAGATTGAAACAAATTTTCTTTTGGGATACTGAACAGTTTGTGCATAAATTCATCAACAAATTAATATGAAGCATCTACTATGTTGGGCTCTGGGCATGGTATAGGAAATTACAACAAGAACAAGACAAATCCATCTCTATTGGTTGAAATTACTCAAAGAAAATTTATATTCATGACAATATTTGATTTCGAGGGCAAGTGTTTTGCTCAGGTAGTCTTTAAAACTTCTAAAATGAAGGTGATAGTTCCAGGAAGGAAAAAAAAAAAAGATAGCTACAGAAACATAATGAAACCAAGAAAGATAAAACTTACCATTTTATACGCTCCAGCAATTATTATTCCTAAATAATGCAGTGTCATCCAGTTACTGCATAACTGAAATATATATGCAAAATATATATATATATATATTATACGTATATGTTAAAGCCAAAAGTTAAAAAAAACTTATTAAACTTTATTTTGAAGATTTTGAATTTTATTATATCTAATGATCTAATAAAGGGTTTCTTTTTACTAAAAAAATAGGTTGATCAATGAATTGGTAAGTGTTTTGACATTTTATTTAAAGAAATTTAAGGCTAGCCAAAGATTGTTAGATTGTTTAAAAATGGCAGAATAATTAGCCAAAGTAATTCATGCCAAAATAAATGACCTATACGCAGAGTTTCTGTGTTTCTGTATGGCTGTCTCACAGACTGAGACTATTTTTTCCACCTCTTTTTATCTCCCACTATGCCATGAATAGCAAGATTTATACAAAATAGGCACTAGAGACATAATAAATTATTTCAATTATAATTTTCATCAATTCCTAAATTTACTTTCAAATAGAAATCATTTTTGATACTCAAATACAAATCACAATATGCCTTTGTTAAACAGGAAGTAATTAATGTTTTTTCAAGGTTTTTTTTAAATAGTCCTATCCATATCTTCCATGGTGTCCAGCAGGCTTTTTTAGCATGAGCTAAACACGGAAGTATTTTCCAGTTGAATGTGTTCTTGGTGGCACTTCTGAGCAGGAAGCATGACACCCCTGTCTGTTGCCAGCACAAGTGATTTCATATCTATTCCTGTTTGACTAAAGGACAACCTGTACTGTGCATCCTGGTGTCAGACATACCGGGACACATCATTCTTTGTCATAAAATAGTCGTCTGAAAGGTGAACTATCATCAATTTCAGGTGCAGTGGATTTTCATAAAGAATTCCTGTGGACTTGTCCTATTAATTCTGTGAGTTTCTTGCTAGAAAGGTCATCACTTAATTTGCTATATTTTAAGTGATACTATATAAAACTAACCATGACTGTAAGAATACAACCAAAACAGAAATGTTCTTTTCAACTACAATGACTTAATTCTGCTTTCTTTTAAAGACTCAATTGCTTGTTAAATTTTCACTGTGTTTCCATTTTAAGCAGCACAACTCAGAACATGCACGACTGCAAGTTCCTACATCACAAGTAAGGTAAATTTTTTTAATTTGTGAAGAAATACTCATTTTGCTCCCCAATATGGTTTCCACTAAAAATACAGTATTTATGTAGGCCTCAGGATTACTGTATGCTTTTTAAAAGCACAGTGTGAATTTTCTAATGTCAGAAATGATGATCAAAAATTTTGTTTATTATCAGAACTACTTCAGAGAAAGTTTTTTAAGTATTTTAGTCAAATAAGTCAGAACCACGTTTCCATGTTAAAAAAATTTTCTCATGACAAGGAAACTCCCATGCTAATAATAGGGTACACACTGATAAGTTCTTCATCAACTCAGGAAGAGAGAGTTTACAATTTGTACTACAAGTTTCTGAATTGCTACATTTCTAACAGTCATCAAATAGCCACTGATGAATGCATCCCTAAGGCCTATTTCCATTATCACACCATCAAAACAAACAAGAGACTCTGGAATTTCTGGTGTGATGGCCATACTGTATTTGAATGAAAGGAAAAGCAAGGACAATATCTCTACACGGTTATTAAAATTTTTTGCAGAAGTAGATCATCTTCACGAGCAGATGCAAATGACCAGGATGCCATTCAGGAGAAGTTTTACCCACCACGCTTCATTCAAGTGCCTGAAAATATGTCAGTTGAAGAAGGAAGATTCTGCAGAATGGACTTCAAAGTAAGAGTTTTAGAATGGTGGGGGAACATTAGCAATAGGACACCAAGTTTGGGGAAATGCCCTTTTCCTACATCGTAGCTTGTCACACAGCTTAAAAAGCACTATATCCAACGAACATACATAAATTCTAGAGGTAATTGTTACAAGTTTCTGCCATTTTTCAGCTGTATAAACTTAGACAAGTTATTCAACCTCTCTATGCTTTTGTTTCCTCATCTATAAAACAGAAATAACAAGTCATACTTACCTCATAAAGTTATGAGGATTAACTTCGTAAAGAGACATTCTTGATTCCAGTAAAGGTATTACAGCAACAGCTGTCTCAAGTATATGTGCTCTAATTGTCTAGCAATAAATTCAAGCTACGCTGCTTTCTTTTTCCTAGAGCAGTTTTTCAGACTAGAACAGCTCTTTAGAAACTATCATATTGCATTTTCATTATCCTCATTCTAGAGAACATAATCTTGTGAAATATTAGGAAATATTTTTCCCAATTCCTTATCAATGAGAGTTACTGTTAGGGCATATATAAAGAAATTTAAATAATGTCGTTTATATATCCAAACTATCGCTCAAGAGCACTCTGTTTTCAAAAATCCATTTGTTAAACCAGCGAACTTTACATATGTGCCTGTGGGACTTTATCTGGTGTCATACTTAGTCAGAGAGTTAAATTACTTCCATATACCTTATGGAGAGCAACAACATAAATTAGCTTTCAGATAAAGCAATACTTTAGAGATCTTAAAGAGCTTGGGGTTGCATTTGAATGGCGAAATGTGGTTTGAAATAGTTTTAAAACAATATATTAATTTCAAAATTTTAATTCCAGTTTTAAGAATTAAAAATAAATCATTTTGAACTCCTGGTTTGCATGTTCAATCACAAATCCAGATGATGACCTTTTTAAAAATGTAAATGGAAAATTTCTGTTTTGTTTCTAGGTTAGTGGACTGCCTGCTCCTGATGTGTCATGGTACCTAAACGGGAGACCAGTTCAATCAGATGAGTTGCACAAAATGATAGTGTCTGAAAAGGGTTTTCACTCACTCATCTTTGAAGTGGTCAGAGCTTCTGACGCAGGGGTTTATGCGTGTGTGGCCAAGAACAGAGCTGGAGAGGCCACCTTCACGGTACAGCTGGATGTCCTTGGTAAGTCTCCAGAGACAGCCTTCCAATGCAGCAGGCTGAAAAGGAAGCGGTTTTAAAAGAAAATATTTAAAAAGGAGCCCGGAGGACTTCATATTTCAGAGTAACGCCTATAAACACGGTGTAATGCAAATTTATATGTATAACCAACAACAAGGCATTTTGAAAGTAAAACTAGTTCTGGTCACCCATCAGAACTTTCTAGAAGAATAATAAGGAAATCATATCACTTTAGGGAGATCAATAAAGTAGTGTAAGCATTTCTTGATATAACTAGAGAAGGATTTCAAAGTAAAAAATTTAGTATAATCATTTCTGTGCTCTGTAGTGTTAAAAAAAAAACCTAACTCATGTTTATATAGAATTGTCATAAGCTGCCATAATGCAAACACATACTTGAAAAGTGGAGAGTAGATATTAACTTGTAGATATACACTGTGCTCTATTTACTAGGAAACTAGTTGCCAGTGGTAACTTGAAAAGCCATGACTACTTTCTTTAGGAAAAACAGGATCTGATAAAAGTCACACCTCAGATTTGTTTTTGGCAGCATAGTTCTTGTAAAAACTAATGTCCGTTTTTTAAATTTTACAATTTAAGTACTTTAAATATATCATAATTTAATGCTTTAAACCATGGTACTATCTCATAAGAGATATCAACATTGTTTATTATCCAAGAGCCTGATCAGATTAAAAGATAGGCAATTTTCTTGAGTTTGTACTAAGATCAGTGAAAAATCTTTAAGAATAGCTATTATATAGTGAGGGAGCTCTATGAAAGGGAACAAGTAGTGAGCTGCAAACAAAATACACACATACTCATATACACACATTCACACAACACACACACAGGCACACACACTTCATATGATTAAGCTTCGGGAAAAGCGCCTGTGGCTTCCAAAGAAATGTATCATTCCAGATGAAGAGCTCAGTTGGTTCAGTTTCATTTCTCCTTTGGAGAAGCCAGTTTCAATGTTGTATCATCATCTCCCATTTCCTCTTTCCATTGGTAGTTGAGGATATATTATAATGATGACTGACATCTGTATATTGTTATCAGTTTACAAAGTATGTTTTTATTCCTATTCAGGCACATTAGTCACTAATACCTTGGGGATTTTTTTTTTTGAACAATAGATAAAACTGAAGCTCAGAGTAACTATGTAAAACTCTTCCAATTTAACATGACTTGTGGAGACAACAGATTTTTTTTTTTGTAGTGTTGAGGATCAAACCCACAGCCCTGTACATCTAGACAAATACCCTCCTTCTGATTATATCCCTCAATAGAAACTTGAACCCACATTGCCTGGTTCTTTTTCCACCACACATGCTGCCTCCCTATAGAGGAAATGACTTAAAGGTTTTACTTGAACTGTTTTAATGCCAAATTCTCTCCTGGGAGAACTGCACAGGCTCTGGGATCCCAGGGCCATGTGGTCCTAATGCTGACAGACAAAGCCAACACTGTGCATTCCATTTGGGTTTTTGTATAAAGTTTATAAAGTCTGAAAGTTACTTACAAAGACATACACCCATGGGCTCTTTCCTAAGCTTTTGAAAGATCCACACTGCCCATGCCATACTTGCCAGCGCCCCACCAAGATGGTGACTTTCGGCTGCTTTTGGGCTTCTTCAGTGCTTATCATAACTTAGACACTCCCTTTCATGCAATTGAAGCTGACAGAGAGTGGGAGAGGCGACTGTCTCACCCTGTGCCTATGGAGTCTCTTGGGGTTCAGTGCTAGTTCTCTTGGAGGACACACCTACCCAAGAACTGTGGTTATAAATTCAGTGAATCATTATATTACATTTCAAGAACTCTGAATATAATAAATAATAATGTATGTTACAGTATTTTAACTAAAAGTAAAAAAAAAAAACCTTCCCGTCTCGCTGTTGATTTTTAAAACTTTAATGCCAGCATACAAACTTCATAATGTTTTGATTTAGCTTAACATCATCTTTATTGAATTTTCTACCAATATCTAGCAAAAGAGCATAAAAGGGCACCAATGTTTATCTACAAACCACAGAGCAAAAAAGTTTTTGAGGGAGACTCAGTGAAACTGGAATGCCAGATCTCTGCTATTCCTCCACCAAAGCTGTTCTGGAAAAGGAATAATGAGATGGTCCAGTTCAATACTGACCGAATAAGGTAAGAGCAGAGCCCTTCCACCCCCAGGTGGGACATTTATTTAAAATTCTATATTTGGCAATGATTAGACACAGCTTGGAATTTTTGACCGCTTTTTTAAAAATTAGATTCTGTAAGTCAGAGGCACCACTTAAACTTGTACAGAAAAGATTTAACTGCTGTATTTAACTTTTATTTGTTTGTTTCCAGCTTGTATCATGATAATACTGGAAGAATAACTTTGCTGATAAAAGACGTGAATAAGAAAGATGCTGGGTGGTATACGGTGTCTGCAGTTAATGAAGCGGGAGTGACCACATGTAACACAAGATTAGATGTCACAGGTATGCCGTGCTAGCAACCCAATTTAAGCAGGAATCCTAGCATTGCATAGAATATGAGAGACTTTCTCTGTAATCATTTTTTCCTTTCACAAATGTTAATGAATACAAAGTTCAACTGATTTATTTAAAAATCACTTCTGAATTACCTTTTATTTGATTTATTTCAGCCCGTCCCAACCAAACTCTTCCAGCTCCCAAGCAGTTGCGTGTTCGACCAACTTTCAGCAAGTATTTGGCGCTTAATGGGAGAGGTTTGGATGTGAAACAAGCTTTTAACCCAGAAGGAGAGTTTCAGCGCCTGGCAGCTCAGTCTGGACTCTACGAAAGTGAAGAGCTTTAACAACTTTATCAACACTGGAAAACACAGCTACAGTATTAGCAATACATCTGATGACATTGTGAAAAAAATCCATAGCTACATTAACCAATTATGGCTTTATTTAGGTACTACAACTAATACACACTTGTGATATTGTTTATCCTCTGACTCTTGCATAGTCTGTCAACTTCTCTAATCTGTGAAGTCAACAGTAAACTGGGTATTTGGATTTGTACTGTAGAAAACTCTTAAAATACAGGATCTTAACATTTAGGTCATGCACATTTACAAGTTATAAATCAATAATTTTTTAAAAACATCTAATGCTTGCAGTAAGGTTTGCAGGTATTGCTTAATACATATTGTTTTACCTGTTTTCTCTTATAGGATACTAACATGATATAGATTATCTGTGTGTTCCACAATTTTATGTCAAAAGAGAATAAAATTCAAATAGTTAAAACAGACTGTCTTATCTTCACAAAAGTCTAGAATTATCTTCACACTAAATCTGGTTTTTAACCTATGAAACAGCACTCAACAAAACCATGAATAACCAGTTCCAAAAGGACACTGTTTTTCCTAGAAGAGCGTGAAGCTCATGGCTCAGCCATTTCCTCCTGAAACCCACTTTCTTGGCTCAGACTTCAAAGGCAAGCACAGCAACTTGAAGCATAGTCCTGAATTTGTGATTCTACATTAAACACAGAGAACTAACTCTTGAAGACATTTGAGTCTACTGAGCTCAGTGGAATATGAACAATCTCTTAAGGTCATCTTTAAGTTTTTGTATTTAATGTAAATTCTTCGATACTGCATTTGGATGTTTTTCCTCCCGTGTGATCTAGATCAAATAACGTATTACAGTAGGCAGGATAATTTCTGAGTCCCTGAGAGAGCAAGTGTAGGAGGACACAAATCCTTTAGTTTAACTATCGTAAGCTGGGACAGTAGGCTTTTCTTTGCCACAGGCCACTAGTCCACTGGCTGTGGGCCTTTCCTTGGCCTCTTCTGTTCCCTTGAAGAAAGGTCACTTTGGATCCTCACTGTCGTGTGACCTACTTTTGCTTTTTATCTGCTGTAAAACAGCGTTTATCAACGTCACTCTCCACTTCTTTCAGGGAAGTAACAAAAGTGGCTTTATCTTTTACTTTCAAAAGACTTTAGTAGTTTTCTTTGTAGACTACCCCGGAGAACTTTGGACAGAAGTCCTCTTTATTTTCCTTTTCAGTGCCATAAGAATCCTTCTGTCTTTTATCTTGTTGGGCTTGTGCTTCCTAATTCACAGTCAAATGTTTGACCTTTTCTATAGTTTGTTTATAAATCTCATCTTTGTAAACCTTCTGGGCCAGATGTGGGTCTGTCTGGAAGTGCAGACTGCTGCCATGACCATTGTTTATATAAACACCGTAGATTTTTGGTGTGTTTGTTTGTTTGTTTGTTTGTTTGAACCTAATGTATAGAGTTGGAATGAGAGGAGTGGAAACTATTTCTAACAACAACTCCTAATTTTTTTACATTTATTTATTTATTTATTTATTTATTCAGTGTGTGTGTGTGTGTGTGTGTGTGTATGTGTGTGCGCGTGTGTGTGTGTGGTGTTCCATGGTATACATGTGGAGGTCAGAAAACAACCTGAAAGAATTAGATCTGTCTTTCCACCATATGTCAGGCTTGGTCACAAGTGCCTTTACCTGCTGAGCCATCTTGCTGGCCTCTAGCAACAACTCTAGTCAATAACAACTGTTACTACAAGTAGCAGGGTCATCAAAGGATTGAGACAAAGCATGTAGGGCTCTGGCATTCAGCAGACATTGCTCCAACTTTGAGTGCTTTGGCTTCCGGTCCCTAAATGAAAATAAAGTACCTGTCTTCCAGTGGGAGGGATGTGGATACTAAATGGTACAATAAATTTAAAGTATTTAAGAAAAAGAAGCTCATTGTAACGAATTACTATGATTTTTTACAAGCCCAAAGTCCAAGTGAACAGAGACAGACCACCGTTGCATGAGTCCTATACATTCTCTGACGTTTATTTTGTTAAGCTGTGAGTCTGCCTGGGAAAGGGATCACCTGGCCTGCAGATTCCCTAAGTAAATTGCGGCATCTTCTTTGGCATCTCCACAGCTCCTCATGCCCTATCCTTATCTAAGAATGAGGATACTTCTGCTCTTGCCCTTATTTGCTTCATAAAATCTGCTTTCAGAAGAGTCTGAATGCAGTTGCGCAGTGTTACCTTAGTCAAAAGTATTTGTCTATAAATAGGGAATAAACCTTAAAGCAAAGTTTGGGCTGGGAAGACCAAGAGTGGATCAGTCTCCAGATTACTAAATATATACAGAGGAAACTTCCAAAGCAACATGCCACAGTCTATACAGGGAGTCATGACTTTGTAGCTGTAGCGAAAGGTTTTACCTGATAAAATTCTGGCCCTATAGATGGAGGTGCTTTTTCAGGTCTTTGTGATAGAGCTTCCTCTGTACACACTCTTGTTTTTCATACCTTGTTTTCCCTTTATTTTCTTCTTTTTCTCTTTGATTTTTTTCTGTTAAATAGTCCTTAATATATTGAAAAAATTGTTACTTGTCAGCTTTATAAAGTAACTACATTTTCTATGTACTTTATAAGTAAAACAGCTATTACTTATTTAGAGATATGGAGTCAACTATATTTTATATTTCTTTATAGCACTTATCGGTAACTGACTGTTGTGGTTTGATATGTTCCCAAAGTTTATGTGCTAGAAACTTGGTCCCCAATGCAACAGTGTAGAGAGGGGGCTTTTAGCAGGTGGCTGGATCACGGGGGCTTTGTCTCCTTGATCAATCAGTTCATAATTAATGGATTATTATGGGAATAGCTCTCTCCACTTACTGATCTCTTCAAGTGCTAATGCAGCAAAGGTTCAGCAGAAACCAGCGTCATATTCTCAGGCTTCCCAGCCTCCAGAACCATAAGCAAGCTAAGCTTCTGCTCTTTCAAATGATCTAGTCTATGGTACTCAGTTATACCAAGAGAAAAATGAAGAAACCAACATTGTATTATTCATTTATTGGTTTATCCCAATAGGATCCCAATCCCTGAGGTTTGGGCCTTGACGTTGTTCTCTATTCTATCCCAACTGGATACGCTATCCAAGCCACTCCAGATGTCCTAAACTTGCTATATCTGATATATAGATACAGATATAGATTAGACAGAGATAGACAGAGATAGAGATAGACATATAGAATGTGTGTGTGTGTGTGTGTGTGTGGTGTGTTTTGCTGGAGATCAAATCCAAGGCCTTACACATACTAGACAAGCACTACATCGCTGAGTTATGGCTTTAACCTTTGAATTTACTTTGCAACCCAAGTAGGCTTTGGACTTTTAGTTCCTCCTTCCTCTGCATCCTGAGATCTTGGCTCATGGGAATGCACCACCACACTAGGCATACATACATCTCTCATGTCTCTTCTCACATACCCCTTCTTTACCTCTTTGCCCTACCTTTTCTTATGCAACTTAGTTCTGGAAAAAAAAAACTGAGTGTTCCTTTAGATTTATAGATTTTCTCACATCTGGTTACATTCCTAGGCAATTTATACCATTCTTCTGTATTAAATAATCAGGTAGTGGCATTACAGGTTTGACCTAATTCACGTATGATTTTAGGGTAATACTTCTTTACATGTGGCATATAGAAGACACAAAATATCTGATTATTTCTCCCGTATGATGTTGGTAATTATTGATCTATTATTTCATTACAAATTGCAAAATGGCGACAGTTAAATTAAATTAATTATTCATTATCTAGTAGATAAAATACTTCATAATGAGAAACTTCTCTTCAATGTCTGTCTGCAAACTTTGTATAGGAAAGGTAGAAAAAATGCTTGATGAAAACACATTTTTACATACACAGAATATACAAAATAAACATAAATTTTAAACTATTTATTAACCACAGGTATATAGTGAAAATGTATCAAAACACGTACACTAATTAGAAGAGTAGCAACTTATGGAGAACTTATATGCAAGGAGAAAACTGATGAATAATGAAATCGATTAAGCTTATAGATATGATTAACTGTTAATTTTTAAATATAGTAATATGGATTTAGTGGGTAATTGGAATATATTCAATTTTGTCTCTTGTTCAGGAGAAACAAAAATACCACATAATTGAAGACTTTGTAGAAAAGGCATAAGTAAATATGCATGCACAGAAATGAAAATAAACAAATGGCTTCAAAGGAAAAAAATATATAGAAAATGTCATTGGGGGCCAGCAAAGTGGCTCATCAGGTAAAGATGATTGCTGCCAAACCTCACCACCTGAGTTCAGTTCCCAGCCCCACATGGTAGAAGAAGAGAACAATTCCTCCTAGTTGTCCTCTGACCTCCACGTGAGCACATAGCACTTGAGATAAATTATAAATACATATGGTGAAGTAACAAAGGGATTTTTAAATGATGATTAAAGAACAGTAACATTTAAGTTTGAGAAGGGGGGCAGCTGCATGGGCAAAGTCTTCAGTCTTCAGTGGGTAAGGGCAGGAATTCAGATCCCGAGCACCCACATAATGGCCAAGTGGGGTGGAAGTATACCTGTAAGCGTGCTTCGAAGGTAGAGACAGGGTATCCCTGGAACAAGCTGGCTTGCTAGACTAGAGAATTGGTGAGCTCTGGGTCCAAGTGGGAGACCCTGACTCAATAAATATGGTGGAGAGGGAACAAGGAAGACACCTGACATCAATCTTTGGCTTCCACCGGCACACATGCGAACTCATACCTGCACACTCATGTGCACCTACACACATGAACACATACACACATACATACCACACACATACACATGCACAACAATAATGTCATCTATATCTATATACTAATGTGGTAAAAATGAAAAAATACTTGGGAATGATATACAACAGAGTTTATAGAATGATTGACCAAGAAAGGGAGACAGAGGTGTCCAATGTTTTTAAAGTAATGTGCTTATAGAGTGATAACCATATTCTATGAATACTAAGGCTAAATATATGCAGGTCTATGAAAATAGTCTTAAGTCCCTAGTGTGGCACTCAGTTTTTTTTTTTTTCCCAGAACTAAGCTGCATAAGAAAAGTGTGTTATTGGTTTCATGGACAGGGTTGTGGCATTTCTATCAGCATAACAATAATCTATATTCCTTGTGAAATCTGACAGTTGAAAACCACATGTAGGTTTAGCTGGGCTGTTTGTCATGGTTCATGTCATTTATAAATAGATTCAAGGCAGGTTTGTGTGACTTAGAATTCATGAGTCAACAGCTGCACATTCATTAAATGTCATCTTTGCAAGTTACTGTAGACTGTTCAAAACAAATATAAAATATCTTCTATACTTTCAAAGAACTTAAAAATCTAATTCTAGAAATAAGAGCAACAGAGGAGCACAGACCCAGGTGTGGGCTAACTTGGGTGGCATGTGTTA